TCCAGCACACCGAAGTGCGGTGCATAAGATGGCCAGTCTTAGGCTGCTGTCAAGAGGAGAGTTTTATGGTGCAATTTTCTCACAATTCTTTTGATTTATGACCCCACTTTGATCTTAAGACAAAGGATGATGCTTTACTTGAAATTCTGACCGTTCATTCGTGTTATTTCTAGTTGTCCCGCCGGTTTCCACAGGGAACTGTCTGGAAGAAGGTTTGTCAAAGCATTGGATATCCGGACAATGAGGGGATCCGTTCCTTTTTTCCACCTCCCAAGGCCTTCCCTATTATTGGGGTCAATTTCCTTCGGTGCGATGTGGCTTTAGACTGGACTCAACAGGATTCTGTGAATGTCAGAATAAAACAGCAGACCTGCATAATATAGTGTACGTGCTACACCACAGGACTGTTTCCTTAGTCTTTAGTAAACTGTGCTTATATTGTACTTAAAATGTGTAATAATATAATAATTTGACAAACATAAGCCGGGGTCAAGACAAGGGGGTAGGTTTGATTTCAGCATTGCTGGGGACCAGCAGCCCGACCCCCCCCGCCCCCATAAACACACATGGTACTACCACAATGTTGGTAAAATCATGTCCTTACCATCCTTACCCAAATCCACACCCTTGGGTTAAGACAATAGCATAAGAGGGAAAAGGATACAAAAGGATACCTAAATGCTATTTAATGAGACAACAATGCTTTGTAAAACATTTCAGTCTGGAGGTCTTCATATAAAGTCAGTAAAAAGACAGTTCAAAGACATATCCTATTTTGTATGGTACAGCACAGGACTATAATGACAAAATGGAGAACAAGTCATGCCCCCCCCATTCTATACAGCCTTTATAAAGTCTCACATCCAGCTCACACAGTGGTTAATTAATTTTTAATTCTCACATATTACTATTATAAAGCGTTTTTCACAAAACAACATTAATTTCTGTTGATAATTAAACCACTGTAGTTATGTGCAATTAAAACTTGTGTTGTTAAAGTAACTATAGTTTCTTTCTTAGCTATGTAGCATTTCTTTATGTGTGTATAATTGTGTAATATGCTTATTAATGTTATCAGAATTATGACAGGAACAAGAAAACAAGAAAAAAGAATGGCGTATACGAACGCTTTTCTTATATTAGCTGCATAGCAGTTGAAATGATGCACATATTTTTAAACCCACCTATACATATGATTTACATTGCTGTTTAATTTTGAAAGATCCTTTCTTTCAAACATCTGTAACTTTGCTGTGCCTTATGCCCATAATTCTGATTAGAAAATATAACGATTCTCACATTAAGTTTTTTTTATATATATAATTGGTGCCTTAAATAGTTCTCTATTCTTAAGGCTTTATGCAAATATCAAATAAAGTGTTACAGTGTTTCCTAAAATTTTTCACACAGTTAGCTGGATTGTTTATGGTTTATGTCTCGCGAATAACAATGTAAGACTAAAATTAAATGATGAATTCAGTTCACTTCATTTTATCTCATATAATTTCACGGCACTTTCGCATTTTTGAATTAGGTGTATTTAAATGTTATTCATTGATGCTTATTCTGCACGAGGCTTGGCGTGATTTTCTTTTTTGCCTGGTGGAAAGAAGACAGGACATGACGATGCCAAGGAGAGGCTGAGATGGCAGCACCTCTCCCAAAATGGAGGCCGTTCAGTGCTGAGGAATCCAGGACAAGGGCAGGAAAGTAGATTGTGGGGAGGTGGGGGGGGAGGGCACTGTAAAAAAAAGCAGGCAGATCTGCTAGGGAAGTGGAGGGACAGGGAGCGAGAGGGGCTTAGAGGTAAAGGGCAGAAGGGGGGGGGGGGGTGGAGAAAAATGCGCCATTCCCTTGGAGGGTACCAGTCTGGGTTTGGGCTGGGCTATTGTAAGACATGGCAAAAGGCTTCAGGGTCTTACAGCTGCTGTCAGTAGGCTGAGGTACTGGCATGGATTTTCGGGCTTGGGGAGGCCTACAGGGAAAGTGTGTGCACGGCAAAGGGATGTGACTTGGGAAGAAGGAGCTTTCAGTTTTTCAGGTGCACTTTCACTCAGTTTTTCATTAGAGCTCTCTGAAGATGCGAGCACAGAGGGGACCAGGCAGAAATAGAGATGTTTGGTTACTAGCTAACAGATGATAGGAGGTGAGAGAGTGTACCGCAACAGCCTTGGCAAGGTTGTGGGTTTCACTTCGTCCCATAGCTAGCAGAATAGTCATATCAATGTTGGGTTCTACATCAAGGCCTATAATCCCCAACTGCTCCAAAAGTGATGGATGCTAGCTGACCCTGGGTCAGTAAGAGACAGTAAGACCTTTTCACCCCATAACGCTGTCTATGACAGACACACACACACACACATTTGTATTCGTGTCTTTGTGGGGACTATCCATTCATTTCTATAGGCATAACCCTAATCCCAACAGTGACAGCCTTAACCCCTATGCAGTCCAAACCTTAACCATAAGTAACCAAATAAAATGCAAGATTTTTTGGCATTCTTAGTTTTTGATTACAGTCACAGATGTTTATAAAATTGAGTTTCCCCTTGAGGGGACCAAGAAAATGTCCCCACACACTCAAAATAACAGGTTTTATCACACTGTGGGGAACATTTGCCCCTCACAGTGTAATATATAGATGGCCATGTGTGTGTGTGTGTGTGTGTGTGTATGGGCTTTGTATGTATTACATTGTGGGAACCAAATGTCCCTACAACGTGATAAAAACCGGTTATTTAGGCTAATAACGGTTTTTATATTTTTATTATTTACATGTTTATTTAAAAAAAAAAATCTGACTGGAATCAAAAAACTAAAAATTTTGCAATTAGCAAAACTTTGTTTGGTTACTTATGGTTAAGGTTAGGGCTGGGTAGGGGTTAAGGTTGTCACTGTTGGAATCAGGGATTTGCCCATAACAATGAATGGACAGTCCCCACAAAGATATGAATACAAGCATGTGTGTGTGTGTGTGTGTGTGTGTGTGTGTGTCTGTCTGTCTGTCTGTCTGTCTGTCTGTCTGTCTGTCATGAAGAGCAATATGGGGTGAAAACTGTCCAATTTCCCAACTGGGATAAATAAAGTACTGCTACTGCTGCATTTTATTTTTACTGCCACATATCTAAAAAAGAGCTCAGAATTTAAGGTAAAATGGCAAGGTGTTAAAGGGGAAAACCACCATGATGGATTCTACACCCCACTTAGGCCTGTTAAGACTTCATTAGCCCAACAGCCCATCATACCCTGTGGGTGACCCTTCTGGTGGAGCCGTACAATCTTTGGTTAGAGAATGGTAGGAGCAAATCATGGGAGAAAAAAGTTCAATTTAATAAAAGATTCTCTTTCATCAGATTAGGAGTTTTCCTTGACTTGAAAACTAGGCCCTAGGTTTGATTTGGGAATAGAAGGGAAAATAACAAAATAACTGAGGAATTTAAAAAACAATAACAAGTTATGGAGATGAAAACGGCAGCTAAATATTTCACGAATGAAAATATTAAGAGAAAATGATGGAAGTGAATTTGCAGTTCTGGTGTGAAGGGTGCAGGCAGTACAGCATGCAGAGGAAGTCAGAATGAGATGATTCGTGACTGGAACAGTTCACCAGGAACTCAGCATTTCATGCAGATGCCTCATAATGAACTTGTCATTCCCAGTGAAGCAGTGCAAGGTTATTTAATATTTTCAGTGTTACCCATTACTCTACCTCAAAATAGAGAATATTTACAGGCCTCTGATTCTATCATATTAACTCCAACAAGAGCTGAAACACACAGGCCATGAATTATAAATGAGTATAAGAATTTATCCATCTTTTAATGGGCATTAAAATTTAACTAGACACAAGTTTTTAAGCTCCTAGTCCAGGGACTCCTTGGATATCACAGGTCTCATTTTCCGCTATTCTTAATAATTCACGGTTAGCAGAATTCCTGGATGGATTATTATTTTGACATCAGTATCATTTTTGCAAGCTTGACTTATTTTTGAAATTTTCTTGGTGCAAAAAAATGGAAGAACTGTGTTAAATTATTTATTTTGTAATGATTAAACATTTTTTTAATACTACCTATTATAGTTTGGTTTGAAGGAAACGAAAATTTAGTATATTTATATTATATGTTTTAATAAGAAATATAGTTAACTCTTTATTATTGCAAATTTGTGCTCATTTTAAGGCATGATGAAGCAAGTAGTTGAAGAAGGATGATCTTAAATTGCTTTGTATTTGCTGATTTTATGGTACGTCACTGAGGCACTTGGTCAAAATTCAATAATTGGTTCCTTTGTTCCAAATTTAAGTGGTGTAGTATACAAAAGGCTGCAATTACAGTTTTAATTTAATATGAAAAAAAAGACAATTGTCAGTGAGTGACTAACGACACAAATTGTATTGAATTTGAAACTGTAGCATTAGAGGCGCCTAGTTTATAGTTCTACCACACGAGGGAGCCAGAGACAGTAAGACCTGTGTAAAGCAGCACAAGACCATATCGATGTAGAATATAGAAACGAATATAAAGAGGTAAGGAGCATGCACTGATTACAGAATATAGTAGTAATAACAAAAAAATAGAATTGAAAAAGATGCATAGTTTTATATTTGTTGTCAAAGAAAAGTAGGTTTGTGACTGGAGTCTCTCATGGGATTGGGTCTGTTTCTTCTTGTAATGCTATTATTTACTCAGTTGACCTTTCTTTAATTTTCAATAAATAGGCATGAGGCTTTAATGTGGTTAGCTATTTTCTATCTGTTAGAGGGGAAAATGTAGTTTTTGTATAGATGATCTTTAAATTGCTAGTAACGTATGATTAAAGATTTACATTACTTTATCTTACGTTAAAGCAACAGTTCATTCGATGTTAACGCATTAGTTATAGTTAAACTTTCCAACAGTTATATTTAAAAATGGGAGAGAGATCTTAAAGAGTATTAAGCAGCAGATGCTCAAAAAAAACTATGGCGAACACAGAATAGGCAGGGGGAGGATTAGAATGGAGCAGGTCAATCATAACGTGAATTACAGCACTTCAGGATTAGATCGGGCCAGAGCGCAGCACTCGGCACAAGACAGCAGCTATAGCAGAGTATAGTACCTGCGAGCACACGCACAAAAAAAAAACTGAAACAGCGAAAGTAAGAGAGTGCTGAACTGCGGGATATAATCAGTCACAAAAATACGAGTCACCAAAAAGAGGAAAAACGGGGTAAGAGGAGAATAAATCAATGAATGAGCAAATGAACGAATGAATGAATGAAACAGAAAAATACCAAACAGGATCATAACACTTAATTTGATTTCACAGCGTAACTCTATGCATATGGTTCAATTTAATTTATCGTCAAAATCGTACTGTAGAAGCTTGCACATTCTGTAACTCATATATTGCAAAAAGACATATTTAAAAATCTGCATGCATAGCAATTAGGTAAATACCCAGCCTGACAGTGAAGTTACAGTCAGCATCATTTAAAATAGATCTATGTGTTTTAATTGTAATATTGGTCTTATTCCTTGGTAGAGTTTGTCATGGACCTAGAAGACGTGGAGAGGATTATTCACAGTATTAAGCAAGGTGATCAGGACGCCATCCTGGCGCAGCTCCAGAAATATAACGACGAGGTACTCGGCCTCCAGCCACGTGACCGTGTGTTCAGGCCAGCACCGCACACTCACTGTAGCGGCGTGGTGCGAACATTATCCGGCAGCACACTCTATGTCTAGTGAGCTCCTTCTCTCTTTTCAATTTTATCTTATTTATTTTTTCGGGCAGTATTCCCTGTGCTTTTTCTTCAACGCAGAAGAGAGAGAGAAAAGGAAGGTGAGGACGAAATTAAAGAAAGCACGACTGAGCTGAACGTATTGCTTTACTGTTACACCATCCTGCAGAGCCCAGAAGACTGGCAGTGCCAGCAGCCAAACATGCTTAGGGGAGCGATGTGAGATACTCCTCCTTATCTGCATTAAGAAACACATAGACTAATACATTACACACCAGGCTGCACACCCTCATTTGTGCTTGTGTGTGTGTGTGTGTGTATGGTGATTGGGGTCCTTTAAGAGGCATAACTGGTTTGCATTTCAGCTTCAGTAGCGGCAGTGTTGATTCACTGTGCGTAGCTGCTGACGCCCTGCACATTCTACCTTTACTACACAGTTTATGAAGCCTCCTCTCCCATCCCCCTCCGCGCGGCTCCAAGATTAGTGGGTCTGCTGTATCAGTTGCCCCTGATACGCCATTCTCACTGCTAGGGGTTTAGACTTTGGATTAATTAAACAATTAGCATAATGCTTCCTTAGCCACCTTCACTTACTTTGCCCTGGCTCTGTCCTGTCACATTGTATCTGATATGTCTAATATGATTTTCTGTTTTTCACACGAAATTTCAATGTATTCTGTATTCCCTGTCGCTGCCGTCCATCTTGTAATAATTCACGGACTAAACAGCAACGTGAACTGGAGGAGGTAACCGCAACCACACTATTAACATAACAGTTTCATGATAGCACGATAATGGCATTATATGGTGGTACACTCCATCATTCTATCAGTCTTCCATAGTGACCGGTTGTTGTCATGACAACACAGCTCGATTCTAATGCAATTTTATTGCCAATTCTACTACAATGGAGTTTGGTGGTGCAAATTATTGCAGCATGAGCTTAACCAGAGATTGCGTTTTTATTTCACTGGAAAGGAAAGTCCACGCAGTCATATATATTACATTGTGTATAAATCATTGCACACAGTGTTGTAATGAATGAAGTTTTATCAAAACAATATCAAAGGAATGTTAGTATTAAATTAGCAGTGCAGTCCTATATTGCTTTGTATTTCTTCAGTCCATTCTGAGTATAAATATCACTGACTTCCTCTTCTGCCCCAAAACACTTTCTTTTCTTCGCAGTTCAGGCGCAATAAAATAAGAGAGTATGTCCCTGACTCCGATTCCGACATTGACTCGGAGGACGCTGAGGACCCAGACCTCATTCTAAGAGAGGTATTTCTCTCATGCTCTCTGTCTCAGTTTTCTCATTTATTCCATCAATCCATCCATCTCCCAACCACCACTCCAGTACCAGGTTGTGAAGTTGCCCAGTCATTCATTATATATGCAGAGCAAAATATTTGCTTTGAGAGAAAATTTTCCCAATGGACAAGACACAACGCGAACCACATTGCTAAAAATTTGTGATGATGAACATAATGATGATATAAACATAATTTTCTTTCATTGCCTAAGACTTTTGCACAGTACTGTGTGTATGTGTTATATTTTTCTGCTTAGATTAACTTAAAGACTAAGAGCTAGTGATCTTTCAGTTAAAATAATTTGCAGTTTATTGTATCGTAGTGTTGATTACAGTCGAAGCAAATTAAAGAAATTTACCAGTTTGATTGAACCATTTTCCATTATTTAGCCTCTGCTTTTACATACATCCATCCATCCATCCATCCATCCATATATCTTCCAATCACTTTTCCTTAGCATTACAAGTTAGTATTTCAAGTACAGAACAGTTTGGAATACATTAAATTTGATTCAACAATAAAAGTTCGAAAACTTAAATAATTATACACATATAAATGTTTTCAAAATTGTTACTGTATCAGTCATGTTCCTTCAGCTTTATGCAGGCACTAAATCCTCTATTCCCCTCCCAATGATGGTGTAATTTTTTGGAAAAGTACTTTTTCCATTTTATAACCATTCTCCCTAGTCATTCTCAGCATCTGATAGGCTGCCTCCCCTCCCCCCCCCAGAAATTGGCGGCCGCCCTGATCCAGTTCGTAAGGTCCCTGTGCCAGCCGCGGATCCTTAAGGTGTGCTTGCGCACCCTGCGCATTCTGTCCAGGGACAGGCAGGCCCTGGGCCCCTTGCTGGCAGACAGTGCGCTGCTCACACTGGCCCGATTGGGCGGCATAAGTGCCCTCCCCCAGTCCGAGGTGGCAGAGGAGGGCAGTGACACAGACCCCTGGTGTGAGATTGGCGGCGGTGGTCACTCTGCCAATTCTGCTGACACAGAATGCACTGTGGAAGTGGATGGTGGTGGCACTGCTGATGCTGAGGTTGACAGCTTCATCTCCCCAGCTGATGATCCCAGCACCAGTTTAGAAACTGGTAACACTGAGATCCAGTCGCCTGGGTCAGATGTGAGCCACAAGAGTCAGGTACAGGAAGCCAGAGAGCCGCACGCTGTCGGATACGGCACAGTGGATGCTCATGCCATGGAGGTAGACCACAGCTATGACGTCCCACATGCCAGAAGGAACACCCATGGGTGTCTCCTCCGAGGAAAGAGGGACCGCATGGCGAAGGGGGACGATGAGGAGGACATGGAGGAGAGCGAGGTGTGGAGAAAGGAGGCAATGAAGACTCTATGCAACATTGTCTACAACAGCCACTGGGCACAGGAGAGAGCCAGCGTACTGGGGTATGGAGGCTGAATGGGAAGGTGTGGAATGGAGGAGGAAGAGGAAGAGTGCTGACTTGGGATTTATATTTTGTGTGGGATGTAAGAAAGTGACAGTAAAACCTTTGTTTTCCTCTTTCTTTCCATTTTTTCTCTGTCCCTCTCAGTCTATTGTCAGGTTTATCAGACCGACTTGTGCAAGGAATTCACACTCTAGCACCTCCCTGTGGACAATTTTATGAACTGCGCCTCATATTTCTCCTGACGGCACTGAGGCCAGAGCTGAGAGCCCAGCTTCAAAAGGTAATTGAGATGTTGATCTGTCTGTTTTCCTCTTTTATTTCCTTCTGTCCCCCCTTCATTCATGGCTTTATTTCTCAGGCAGGGGGCGTGTCCCTGCTAACGACTGCTCTGGAGCAGTGTTTGTTGGTGCAATGGAAAGGTGATCATCACGTGCTGCTGGACCACACATTACCTCCAGTCTCTTTGGAGCGATCCCAGTGTGCCATCGAGATTCTGAAGATCCTGTTCAACATCAGTTGCTGTATTCGCAGGCAGCCGCTCAACCATGTAAGAGCAAATTTTCTATTGAATGGACATTCGCCAAATGGTTCTGCCTGATGAACACGCAATTTCGTGTACCAGCAATTTTTCTGCAATTTCTCAGTTCGGCAGCGATTATTTTGACATCTCTGGGTCTTTTTTTTTCCAGGAAGGCACTACCCTCTATCGCCACCTTGCTGCTATTCTGCGTCACTGCATGTTGTTGTCCTGTGCGACGCAGGAGAGGACAGAGGAACTGCAGAGGTAAAATGTAGAAAACTGTCTAACACTGGGCTTTTTCCTGTTTTTTCTTTTGGTTCTCAGCATTACACATGTCTCCACCCCTCAGCCACACAGTAAACCTGCTCTCTGCCCTCCCCTTGGAATATCTGGACGTGCTGCTGTCTGTGCCCCCGTCTGAGGGCTCACTGGAATGGGAGGGCTTTAACATGGACTGTGTCCATAGCCTGCTTCTCTTTATGGAGCGACACCTGCGGAGGGTAAGGGACCAGGGCTGCAGAAGGGGCAGAATCGCCTGAAAGGAGGGGGGCGGATGAGCAGGGCATGTTGGAGGCAGAATCCTTGAAGGGAGGGTGTGAATCTGCAGAAGTAGGAGGGAAAAACCATATTTGGTCACCACAGATTGGTAAAAACCCACCATTTTATCGTATCACTAGGCAATAACTGCATCACTGTTCTTTGTTTATTCTCAGAATGATAAATTAAAGGAGAGACTGACACCGGTACTTAATCTTCTAACTGAGAGCTGCCGGGTCCACAGAGAAACACGACGTTATCTCAGGAAACAGGTAACCCTCTCTTCCTTCTCCATCTGCAGCCGTCTCCCGTCTGCGTCGACTTAGACCGTACATCAAATGTCTGAATCGCTCTGCAAGAATGCATGCAGCAGATTGGTTATGCGTGATGAACAATCGCTGGAGTGCATGTGGCAACTGTGGAGCACCTGTCCTCTCGCAGATCCTGCCCCCCCTGCGAGATGTAGCCACTAGGCCGGAGCAGGGGGAGACTGTGAAGAGCAGGCTGGTCAGGCTGATGACCCATGTAGACACGGACGTCAAGCACTGCGCTGCCGAGCTGCTCTTTGTGCTCTGCAAGGAGAATGGTACTCGCCTTTACCAACCCCACGAGCCGTCCTCAGCAGAATGCAGCAATGACTGGCCATTTTATGCAGGGGCGAGTGTGTTTCTGCGGCCCACCAGATGTTTCAAAAACTAAAACAGCTAGTGAGTAGAATCAGAAGATTGTAGCTAGATGGCTGGTTAGCAGAACATGCGGCTTACATCTCCTAAGTAAGAAACATTTGAGTGTAGTGACTACTTGTTGCCAACAGGGGGCCCAACACAAATGCGTGGTATGAGTGGTAGTAAACACCATTGCTAATTTTATGTCTCCATTGGCAGCACTCTGACGTATTCGGTCACATGTGTCTTAGTGAGCAGGTTTGTCAAGTACACCGGCTATGGTAATGCGGCAGGCCTGCTGGCTGCCCGGGGCCTGCTGGGAGCCAGGGGAATGTTGGGAGTCCTGGTACACGGGACGAGTGGGCGGTACTCCAGCGACTCTGACTCTGAGACCGACGAGTACAGGCAGGCCAAGGGGAGGATCAACCTGGTGACCGGGCGTGTGGAGGACAACCAGGCAGACCCAATGGAGGGTATGACTGAGGAGGAGAAGGAGGAAGAGGCCCGCAAGCTCTTCCACATGTTCAGCAGGCTGACTCGGTAAGTCTATCCGCACACGCGTGTGTTTATTTGGGTGCCATTAGTACATCCATCTGTCACATATGGCCACAACACAGCCAAAGATCTTTACTGCTGGTCATTGTTCGGAGGGCTAAGTATCTTTCTAAATAACCATGCGTTAACCTTCTGTGCCTGGTCTCACAAAGCAACAAGATTATTGAGCCAGTGAGCGTGACTGAGGACGGGAGGCTGGCACCGCTATGTGAACAGCTGAGGGATGATTCGTCAGCAGGGGACGACAGCGAAGGGGACACACGTTAAGGGCATGGACTCATGTCTACATGTTCTACCTGAAGTGTTTTTTAAAAAAAAGATACATGAAGTGGAAGGAGAGATCCACTGAAAACACTATGAAAGAAAGATTAGGGTTATAATGGATCCATTCCAAGGTTCTACTCTTATCTAGTAAAGCTAACTAAAATTTAATTACTATAAAAGTTTAATGCATGAGAGAATACTGGTAATAATAAATAAATAAAGAATCACAACTATCAGTCTTTGTGTTTTAATGAGGTTGTTCAGATTCATTAGTTTTGCCACTATGTTACAATTTGGTTTGCAGTCATATGAATACATATTTGTGATGGTCCCTTTTGGAGACATTCCTCAAATGGCAATCCATAACTACCGTCATATCGGCAAAAAAATGAGACTGAGAAACATCATAATTGTGACTCTGTAAGCCTCACTCAAACCAGAGGTACCACTGCTCTGTTTCAACTCAGATGTCTGGAGCAGTACCTTACGGAGTTTTCCTCTCATAAAAATGTTACATATATTAACAGTCTCCACTGACAGATTTTTAAAAAAGATCCATCATTTCCTCCAAAGAGCTCATTAAGTTGAGAGAGCCAGAAAGCTGCAGGTCCGCCGACTGCAGAGAGGAGGCACCACCATCCACTGCAATTGTCTTCAGCAACTCCAGAGAGGTTAGGCTGACCTGAAAAAAAGACAGAACTGGATTTTCACAGGAACCTCCCACCAGCACATGGCCCCTGACCATTCAAAAGATAAGCCAGAGAGGGACTTGTTTTACAATATAGTTACTGAGAGAGTCACTGTTTTCTTGTCCATGGCCATCTCACCTCTACTGTGATGAGCTTCTTCTCCCAAGGTCTCTGTGAGGGATCTGGCCACTTCTCCCCCAGGCAGAAGAAGAGAGAGCATGAGGGTGATGGACCTTTACTCTTCATGAATTCCAGCAGGCCTGAGCAGAGAGGGAAGTTTGATGGTTACTGCTCTCAGAAACTTACAGTAGATAAGGGCCCGTAAGGTAAATTCTGCATTCCACTCATGGCTGGTTTCACTTCTTGTATTGCCTTTTCAGTCAGTGCTCTCTTCCAATCGTCTTGGAACTCCCCGAATACTTTTATGGCCTTTAACAATGAGCGCTAATGTGAACAGAAAAAGGCAAACATTCATCACCAATTTGGTGCAGACAGTGGAAACATATGTCTCACTCACCTGTGATGAATTCCTTCAGCGTGTGCAGCTGGTTGCCTTGTTTGCTGACCTCTTGGGGCACACCGCTCCTATCGTGCTTACACAGGCTCCAGTAGACATGACTGTCCCCGCGCCGTAGCGCGTAAACAGCAGCACCCTGTGTGATGACCTCCAGCCCTGCCCCCAGCTTCTCCAAGATGCGCCTAGTCAGCTGGGCTTGCATCTGGTCGCGAATGGGGATCTGATCTGGACTTGGCAGGATGACCGTTTCTAGTTGCTGGTCACAGTGCATCTGTTCAGGACTAAAACGAAAATAGATAGAAATGCCAGCAAACGCAGCAGAAAAGGTATCAGGTAGATTCCAGCAATGCAAACAGAAATTTAGGAACTTCTACTGATGAATCATTGTTTCATTGTTCTAAAAGATGTTTGGTTTTCAAAGAAGGAAGGGAAACTGCTCTCACAGTATCATCAATTTCGAACCGCTTATCCTGGTCACTGAGGGATGCACCTGGAGCTGGTCCCAAGCAACAAAATGCACAACGCAGGAGTACCTTCTGCATGGTATGCTAGCCTATCGTAGGGCACATTCACACACTACGGGCGATTTAGAGACACCAAGTAGTCTAACTGCCTAACTTTCAAATGCATAACGAAACTAGAGAAACTCAATTGACACAGAGGACCACACTGTGTCAATTGAGAAACTTCACACGAAGAGCAGAAGTGATAGACAACAATTACACTACCCATTGAGCCACTGTGCCCATCACATCCAAATAATAAAGCTTTTTGTGTTATATAATGCAGACCATAAGCTTAATTTGTTTAGGAATAACAATTTTATACGGATGCCAATGCAAACACAATGTCCATCATCTGACTGCAGAACAATTAAACCAAATAAGCTTGAAAAATATTGAAAATACACTGAAATATTAGGCCATGTCTGCTCAAATACCGATCACATTTCTCTGTTTATCCCATGCTCTCCATTACCTGAACACCACCCTGAATCCAGCGTTATTTTCCACCAGCTTTTCTAGAACCTTCACTCCTCTGTAGTACACAAACACATTAAAATAGGTACCTAAGGAGAAAGAGAAATGGTATACAGCAGGTGAACAAAAGTTGTAAAGCTTCTTAGAAGAAGATTAATACCTGTGTCCTTAACCAGCATCACCGGCTCCCATGCAATCTGCCACTTGTGTCAGTATTTCCTGATTTCCTTTAACAAATTCACCCCATTCTTCTTCTAATCATTATATGCTGCCCTCCTTTTCTAAGCTGACCCTTCTTCTGTCTGGTGTCCGCTTGCTCTTACACAGAGTGTCTTCCACCTTAGTCCTGCTCATCGCATTCTTGAACTCCATCAGTCTCTGTTGTTCGGAATCCACCCCTACAGCTCCCTCAGTGGTAAATCCCTCTTGGCCTAGTTGCACAGTGGGATGTACCACTTCTGAGAAAATTTAAGGACAGAAATAAAATAAAGTTGAAATAAGATGCTGTAGACGACATAAAAATACAGTGTTGTTGCCACTGTCAACTGCCTGGCCAAATGCCACATTCCATGTATGTAAAACTGTCCTTGGCTAAGAAAACAAGTACCAGGAAAAATCCCAGACGAACTGGAAAACATACAAATCTGACACAGACACAACTGGGGACTGGAACTTAACCAGAAGGTGAGTGCAACTATACTGCCTATCACATTTTAACAGAGATTGTAGGAATCCAGATAATTTAAACGGGTTCACAAACATTTTCGTATGACATAGCCAAAGGCATGTGGACACCCCTTTTAATTAGAGGAATTGTAAAATTAAGCTTCAGAGGTGTATAATTAAGCACACAGTCACACAATCTACTACCATAAACACTGGCAACATAATGGATGGTTGTAAAGAGAAGGTTAGTGACTTTCCACTTGGCACAATCAGAGGATGCCATGTTTCCAATTCACTGCATTTCTGCCTTGTTAGAGCTACCCTAGTCAACCACAAGTGAAATGATTGCTAAAGTCTAAATGTCTAGGAGCAAAACTTCAGTTGCGAAGCGTATGGTCACATAAACTCACAGAATGAGACCTGGGGGGTATTTCACAAAGCAGGATTTTTTCGTTAGCCAGATAACTTAAGCCAAATGTAAAGATGGTCCAATAGGAATGTCACTTACCTCTCCTCCTACTGGACAGTTTTCAAGTTTGGCTTAAGTGGCCAGCTAAGTGGGAAATCCTCATTTGTGGAATACCCCACTGATAACCCAGCAGCAATACCCAACCTGAATGGGAGCAGATCTCCAAAAATGTTTTAACATCTAAAGAAGGGCTCTTCAAATCTGGACCTCGATTTCAAATCCAGGCCTTGTTTTCAGTTGTAGTTAATTTAACAATTTCTGATTCTGATTTGTCAGAGGCTTCATACCTGGCTCACAGGTAAAGGAAGGCTGGAAAACCAGCAGTGCTCGGACCTCGAGGACCATGATTTGAATAATAGGGAACTAAAGGAAAGCCTTCCCAGAAGAGCAGAGGTTATTCTGGCAGCAATGGGCTGATCAATTTCATAATAAAACCCTTGGTTTCATAAGATAAGATGTTGGACAAGGTGGTGTTCACATACTTTTGGTCATACAGTGGCCAAATACTCATATAATACTTATATATACTCATGTAATTTTTATTTACTTCCAAACAAAACAGCAAAACAATAGTTGTACTCCAGGATATCTAGGTCATTCCATTTTAATTCAATAAATTTCCAAAAAAGGTTTTTGCATCACCATTTTTTGAATGAAATTTGGCATGTGAATTATTCATACCTTCCAGATCTCCAAAATATTTTTTGCTTTTTAAAATCTCCCTTTAAGTGCCTTTTCTACATCACAGGTAGCAAAAAAGACAAGTGTGTTTTTTATGAGCTGTAATTTTTTTTTTTTTTTTTTACTATTTTTGTAAATAACTAAGTACTTTTTTTTTTTTTTTTTTTACTATTTTTGTAAATAACTAAGTACTTTTTCATGGTACAACTTTTATCCATCCATCCATCCATTATCTCCCACTTATCCGAGGTCGGGTCGCGGGGGCAGCAGTCTCAGCAGGGAAACCCAGACTTCCCTCTCCC